AAATGCGTCTCGCAATGCTTGATCTCTTTCCCCTGCAGTACCGTCGCCTCCGAGGGGATCTAATTCTTACTTACACCCTGTTTGAACAAAGCTTGGCAAACCGGTTTTTTACCGTTGACCCAGCAAACACCCGGCGGGGGCATAGTAAGAAAATTTTCAAGCTCAGAGCACACACATTCCTTAGACAACATTTTTCTCATTTCGGTTAGTAGCTGCGTGGATTGACCTTCCTCCAGCGGTTGTTCACGCTCCTTCTAGAACCCAGTTTAAAACACTATTAGACATTTATCTATGCGAATCCTTGCACTTGTAGGCATACTGCCCCGTGCTGAGAACATAAAGAGCAATGCTGCACCATTTTTTCACCTGTGCCTGTGAACGACAGCCACTGACCGACAAGAACAAAGCCGACCCGGGAAACTTGGGCAAAAGCCTCGATCCTGTGTATCAATCCGTGAATCCGTGTACCATTGCTGTAGCGTAGGCGCTAATTAATGCAACCTTAATTGCCAGAAACGCCCAACAGTCCAGGTCTCGCCTCCTTGTTTTAAATGGTACTCGGATTTTGCTTTCAGTAATCGATCCTGTGTATCAATCCGTGAATCCGTGTACCATTGCTGTAGCGTAGGCGTATGCTAATGCAACCTTAATTGCCAGAAACGCCCAACAGTCCAGGTCTCGCCTCCTTGTTTTAAATGGTACTCGGATTTTGCTTTCGATCAGTAATCGACGGACAACTTAAAATAGTTGTGCGCTGTCTAAACGGGTCCAAATTTCCCATTACCGAGATAGCAAGACAAATGAGAATGTAATCTTTCACATTTATCATTTTGACATCATGCTCAGCAAGCAGGGTTTGCAAGGACGTATGCTTTAGGAACACCTCGCTGCGGTACTTGTTAAATGTTTCAAGGTGCCTCAATTTTGGGCGTATCTATCATTGGTTTAGATTGAATTAGGCAGCACTTCAGGTTAACATTGAACTTGTAGTGGTTAACGGCCCTATGGAGTCTCTAGTGAACTGAACAAATTGCTGATGTAAGCCAGATACAAAGTCACAAAGAGGAAAATACAGGTAAATTTTGACTCACAGATCAAAATAGGAGATTCCGTAGTTCCGTATTCCGTTGAACCACCACACCAAGAATAGTTCTATCTTCCTGGTATCCCAGATCTCCGGTGATCGAAATATTATTCCACAAGCGTGAATATATTAGTCCAGTGTTTGTAGCTGAAATGTTTGTTCACGTTTAGTGTTAGCAGCGGTCAAATATAGCCAACCGGCGGTCACAACAACAGTCACTCAGCAAAAGTCTCAAAGTCACGTTGGAGCCAACGCGCGGGCGGTAGCGGTTGTATTTCAGTAAAAAAACTTTTGCACAGCGATGTGACTGATAATGATGGGAAAAAAGAAGATGATACTGAGCATGAAAAAGATCAGTTTACAAGTGCTACAAACTAAGTTGTGTTCTGGGCCTACATGATAAACTGTAAGGCTGTAAATTAAAAACACCTTATGGAACCCATTTGAGCTGAAAAATTAGTCTGTCTTTGTAATGCAAGGACACTTGAATGAAGTTCATCATGTAGCCATCAACTCGGTGTGTGTAATGAAGTTGCCTCCCTTTTTTCTTTTCCAGGATTATGCCGAAGCACGATACTCCACAATGTATTAGTTAAAGAGAATATCAGTCTGCCATGTTCTGCAAAACAAATGGCTGTACAGAGGCGGTGATCTGGAACACTTGTGAGGGAAATCAATCAAATTAAAACTACCGACCAGTTAGAGAAAATAATTAAAACCACTAAATGTCGGCTGATTTCAGTCGGTTCAACAAGTGGAAGGAAATCATAACACACAGTAAGAAATAACTGGACAAATTAGAACAAGGGGACAGAACTGTGCACCTGATGGCATCCACCGAACTGATCATATGGAGTGTACTGATTAAAAAGTGTGGTTTACTTTTGATGCTGAACAATCAGCTTAGGTGAAGGCCTTTTGGCAACCAGCCAATCATGACTTCGTTTTTGGGTGCGGTCTAGACGATACACAATATTACGCAGAAGTGGAGAAAACAGGAGTCCATTAGCCGCAAAATGCTGTTAGCTGCAAAACCTTCTCGAAAGGAGTAAAAAGTTTTCCTCCAAAATGTTACATTTTGTTGCGTTTGTGCTCAAACCAAAGACCAGCCGATTCCACGTTCCAAGTTTTGTACCTCACCAAATTTCATTGTTCACTGAAGCAATCCTACCCCTGGCGGAAACGTCTGGGGGAATAATTTCTCATAATCATTGAGACCCCTGGATGCCTAAATGGGGCTCGAAAGTTTGGACTTTTACTCTGAACTCAACTGCTTGTCTCTTTTAATCCACCAGGGACAGGGCATAACTTTCGAAAGTTCGATTCCATTGTGCAAATACTGAGAGGTGAGAAATTGCCAAACCAGCCGCCGCAAGTTGCATCTTCTCGGTTGGGGATGTAACATTTTCAGTCCAATTGCTAAGCGCAGCGAGCACACCAGTGACCATGTGACGCACCCCAAGGTGATTGTAGAAATCCCAGCGGGTCGTGATTCGAATGGGCGTATTTCAAGGAGTAGTTCAAGGAGTGTTCTCGACGCTTCATATGCGGAACAGGTACAGTGTCTGATACTGTTGGTAATCATGAGGGTCATTACGGTGTGGATTAACGTAAGGATCACATGGCTTTGAATAGATTCACGGGGAACAGTAAAACAAGTTCATTGTGGCGCCAGTCAGCATAGTGCACCCTTCTCCATCGTTAACAGCGGTTGTTTTGAATAAGTGGATTAGGAAATCCGTAAATAAATTAGGAGAACACTTTAACTTGTTTGTCGGGAAAACCCGAAATCCCGTGGTATCCTCCTGTCAATGGGGCTGTACATGGGAAGGGGCGCGTAGCGGACTAAGACCTTATCAGCGTGTTCGGATAAATTAACAAGCAAAGTAACCAATGCAAAATCACAAAATCACAATAGGAAAGGAACGAGTAGTCAAATGGGGACTCACGAATGTGTAGATCCAATAGTCCACTACACCGATCCAAATGCAGTAACTGGCTGTGAAAGGAAATATTCACTTGTCGGAACTCCCCACAGATGGTTCCGCGTGCGTGATATATTCCACGGTAGGAAAATTACTCACGGCTAAAAAAATGTCACAGGTATTCATTATGACGTTCAACAGTTGACATAAACACAGATATTTAGTCCCACTGGTTCACCAGTCAACAAACAGTTCAACGGAGCGTAAATACGCTCGTTGAGCAAGAAGTCAGCTGGTCGCGCCGGAAAATTATGTATTC